AGTTAAACCTTAAATATAGAAGTTCACATTCAGGTATTTTGGAATGGAACACAGCCTTTGCTGTTGGTGCTCGGCTCATGTTATGATGTCATCATCCTGAGACAATAGCTAGCGAGCTGATGCAGCTAAAGCTTCCCTACATTTATGTTCCCACAGTGCTGCAGTTCAAACTGCTGGACTACAGGTACTATTAATATTGTTTTTTTATGAACACAATTTGAACTTAGATTTTAAAAAATATCTTTAGCAGTGTTAGAAGCATTAGCAGAAGTTAGCGTCAGAGCAACAAACATCAACAATGGTTGCTTCTAGCCACCAGCTAGCTGCTGCTAATGCTGCTGAAGATAATATTTAAAATCTAAATACTGTAATTTCTAGATGTAAAAAAATGTAATTTCTAAAAACACAGAGACTTCACTGGGGGCTTAAATAAAATATAAAAATCCAATAAATCATATCATCCATATTTACTCATATACAAATACAAAAAGAAATATTAATATTGAGCAATATGGGGGACATTCAGCCAATACCCACCAACAAACAAACAAACAAACCAAAACACAAAACAAATAAATCTTTACTTTACTCAAAGCTTTGCATCCACACAGCTTATAAAACCACCAGCAACATAATAAAAATATTTTTCACTTAAGTTGATGCACATTTTATCCTCTTTTTCTAACCAAAAGTAATCCAAAATGGCTGCCAAAATTATGGCATTATCTTTTCTTTTGAATTTTTTTTTTGCTTCCTTACCTTGAAGCACTTAAAACACTTCATTACAAATAAATTTCCTCTAACAGATAATTGCCAAAAAACACATAATAATAAAAAAAACATGTTTTAATGTTTGCTGTCCTCACCACTAGGGGGAGAAAAGGGTTATTATTCCATAATGGCTACAAAGCTGCGATATCAGAATGAAACTCAGAGCTGATTGGCTGGTTTTAGAGTCACTTAATTATTGTCCTGCTAGCGTGACTTGTGGAGGTTGCTGCACATTATTGACTCTAGAGAAGCTATACATCAAGCCAGTCCATCAAAAGAGATGTCAATCAAAAGATGACAACCAATCAAAACGTTTTAATAGCCTACTGATTAAATTCAAAGTCTTTGTGAGGCTTTAAAGAGGCAAGAAGCAACAATACAGTGGGCGTGTCTCAATTCATGGGCTGCATCCTCATGAGGACGAAGCCCAGCTGGGCCACATCCTTCCCAGTCCAGGTAGGCTGCAGGAAACTGCTGTGAAATGAGACAGTCTAGCCTTTGTTTAATGTGCGTTTGAGTAATGACATGCGCTACCCTGGTTCCAGAGTGATCAGTTTCATATCAGACTGAAAATGCATTGGGACATGTATTTACATGTCTTTTTACTGGAAGAATAACTTCACTAAAACATTACATGTAAATAAAAAAACATTAATAATTTGGGTTTAGCTCCAGAATCAGTACTTGTAGCTGCATTTTATTTAACATCTTATTGCAGCATGAATTTCAACAGCTAAGTTGCTATACTTACTTTTAAAAACAAATTATTTGGTTCATGATGATTTTCCAAACTATGCCGACTTGCTAAAAATATAAAAACTCCACCATCTTTGTTTCTCTGTTTAGTTTACTGTCAACGCGTTGAATTCTGGGATATCCTCGACCGGGAAGTATACTCTGATGCATTCTTCATTTTTGAGATTTTGTGGGCCACATTCCTGCTGCACAAATGTGCACTCATGAGGACGCAGCCCATGAATTTAGACACAGCCAGGGTTGGAGTGTTGCTCATGTGTGACGAAAAGGATTTGGCTCGAGTGATGATGTGATCTGTACCTGGTTGTGCAGTTTCCGCAGCTCTTCCTCGTTGCTACGTGTTTTGTGTTGCTCTGCTTCATACAGATCTCTGACGTCCTGCAGCTCTTCTCCCAGCTTCCTCACCTGCTCCTCCAGAGCCTCGTCATCGCTGCGCCGCGATTCCTTTCAGGACAAAACACACTTCATCCACAATTCACCCTCAGAAGGAGGTGTAGAGTTACAGTTACAGTCATGAGAAAAACAAAGTCCACCTCCTTCAGTTCTGGAGTTTTACAGATCAGGACATAATAACAAGGATCTGGTCTTTACCAGGTACTGAAAATATGAAAATCTAACTTCAAGTGAACAAAAACTAACAACAGACTCCACAATGATGTCACTGTTTATTAAACAAAAGTTTTTTAAATCATTCTGCTGTAAACTTCCTGCTGTGTTTGGGAGTACTGTTCAGTGAACTCATGAGCCAATTTAGTTCAATTTCAGCCTCACAGTTGACTACCCACACCTGTTCTGTCTTTTTCTAATTGTGCTGCCATGACCTCTGAGACCTGTAGAATTAGAGATGGAGCACTTAGTTTTTTTTTCTTTTTCCTTTTTGGTAATTTCTCTGAGCATTAACACTGTAGAACTGAAAAAAGATGGACTTCCTTTTAACCTAATCAGAAACTGTATCAGTTCATTTATCATGTAGTTTTGAACTGGGATGAGGACCTTCACTCAGGCTATTTTTAGAACACTGGTCATGTGACTGTTTGCTTGACACAGGTGTGTGCATACAAACCATGTATTTTAATAGCGCTGCCAACTGTGTTTAAACTTAAATAAATTCAGGAAAACAGCATCAAACTCCACCAGGAGGACCACAAAACATTGTGCTCCAACAACAGTGACTCAGGATACAGACATCATCCCTACATGGAAGGAGTATTTTTGTCATTTTCCCCAAACTAAGATGCTAGCTAACAACTGGATTCAAGCAATGGGATGAGCTGAATTTAACCAGAAAAAAGTTAAAACAAGGACTTACGTTGGCTTCAAACATTTTATCTGAGGTAAAAGACCAACACTGGACCACCCTGATCGATACACATCAGCCCCTTTGGACATTTACCTGACCCAGAAATACGTAATTTAAAAAGAAAAAATCCGTACTATCGGAGGGAAGGAGAGCGGAAGAAGTGAAGAATTTATTTCTAGCGGCCGAACAGGTTGGAAGATGATTATTTGATGTTATTTGCTGTATTTTTTACCTCCTAAAGGCTTGACATGTTAAATTAATTTGAAACGGAGGTTTTGAAAAAAATCTGTAAAACTTTAAAAAGTCTGTGAGATTGCTCTATACATCTGTATACTCGCAAAAAAATGACAAATCTGTGTAAATTATGGACAATCCGTACAATTTGACATGTATGCTGATCCTCTCCCTGTACTTTCTGTTGATAAACAGTAAACCTTATAGTTTTTACTGTAGCCTACTGCTAGCTTTACTCCTAGCATCCATGCTCGCCTCATAGAGCACTCTACTGCAGTCACACATACGGTGATAATAATCTTATACAAATTCTTAGCATAACCATTATGTTTCTTTTAACAATGCAGACAGTGGGCTTGAGTGATAAAAACACACACAGACAATAGATGCAGCAAGCTAAGGTATAAGACACGATAAAAACACCAACCTTTCTAACAATTCCACCCACTTTCCAACCAAGTCTGTCGAAGACCTCGACCCTCCAGACAACCTTTCAACTGAAGTTTCCTGTGATTCCTGAAGTTGGATGTGCTGAAATTTAGGAATGTCTTTTTCTGCTATGGTATTAACACCGACTCTCCGTAGAATCTGGACCGTCTGTCCCACTGAGCGAGTGGGAGATAATGTATGTAAATGATGTGCATGACATCGAGTGAAGGTCCCCATTGAATAGGAACTTGTAAGTTGGTTCTGTCTAATCAACTTGAGACAAACCGTAAAGGGGCAATATTATGTGTTTCTCAGGCATATATTTAAATACTATACCATAACAAAGTATCTATGTCACCTTTAGCTGTTATTAAAATGCTGTTTCTATGTTTAAATAGAAAATAAACTTATCTTCTCATTACTTCCTCTTCTAAATGCCTTGAAATTGGTCTGTCTCTTTAAGAACCACCTTCCGCTTCTGTCCTGTCCCATTTACAGGGGTGGAGGAGGTCGCGCGCGAACCCCACCCCCCATGATGCGGTTTACTTGGCATCTGAAAATACATTTCCTCAAAGGTATTTTGAATCTGAAAAGAGCTTCACTGAGTGAGAAGTAGTGTTGAGAGCAGCAGACAGTTTGTTTCACTTTGCTCTGTTACTGTCGAGAGCCTGTAGGAGTCATGGGCGGGGTGTGTGTATGTTGGGGGAGGGGGAGGTGCACTTTGCAATGAGGAAGTTCGGCTTAAAGACACATCCCAGGGGTGTTTCTGGTACCAGAAGGCGTTTCTGGTCCCCACCTGTTGTTTTGCTCCTCAGCATGGCTTCCTAAAATCGCTGCAGGATTTCTCAAACATGCATGAATGAGTCAGAGCAAGGCTTTGGACATGTTCTTATGAGAGTATAACATTATAACATGATCCATCCACCCATCCATCCATTTTCTGTACACGCTTCTTCCTTTTCAGGTTCGCGTGGGTCACTGGTGCCCATATCCAGCAGTCACAGTGCGAGGGGCGGGGTACACCCTGGACAGGTCGCAAGTCCATCACAGGGCCACACATAGAGACAAACGAGACAAACAAACATTCACTCTCTCACTCACACCTAGGGACAATTTAGAGTTATCAATTAGCCTAACAGTCATGTTTTTGGTCTGTGGGAGGAAGCCGGAGTACCTGGAGAGAACCCACACATGCACGGAGAGAACATGCAAACTCTACCCAGAAAGGTCCCCGGACCGGGATTTGAACCGCTGACCTTCTTGCTGAGAGGCATCAGCTCTACCAACTGAGCCACCTTGCCGCCCATTTTATAACATGATATAAAACTCAAAAAAGTTGATTTTACATGACATTGCCCCTTTAAGCTAAACTGATAAACCAATGACCTGTTTGTTTGTGTTTTATGTTGAGGATAACAGAGAGCACAGAAAACAAAAAGTCAAACAGAAATAAAACTCTTTGTAAACCTACACTGTCATTATTCCCCTTCCACCCCAGTACAAATATAATTTAAATGTTAAAGTTCAGTTACACATAACTACATAAATCTTGTTGAAGCTCATGAGCCACAGCCTGGAGTGAAAGCAGAATTGAAATGAAAACATCAGCTGCAGGTGTGCTTTCTACCGTAGACTCGTTGCCATCCAGCAGGTTCTGTGTCAGCCTCCTCAGCTCCAGCAGGCTGGTGTGGAGACTTCCTGTAGGCACATCCCTCACCGAAGACGTGTCAGAGGACTCGTCCATGGACGAGTCAGTGGACAGTGCTGAGTCCGTGACGTCATTTCCTCGCAGGTGGGAGCAGAGTGAGCGAACCTCACAGTAGGCCTCCCACAGCTGAAGACGCAGCTGAACCCACAGGAAGTGGGAGAACATGTAGACGTTAGTGATGTGTTCACTGTCAGTCAGAGTGAGACAGAGCTGGTCAGGTCTACCTGTTCCCTCTCCTGCTCCTGCTCCTCCTGCTCCATGCTCTGCTCGATCTCACACAGCAGGCTGGAGGGGTGGGGGGTAAAAGTCTGGAAGCTGTGCTCCTCCGTCAGCTCTGCCAGTCGAGAGGTGAGCTGCCGGTGGGATGACTGGACCTCCTGGAGCTCCAGCTGGTTCTGTCTCAACTGGACACAGCAGAGGAGTTAAAACCTGACGTCCTTTGTGTAACATTAAAAACACACACCTGACATGTCTATTCACCTTTTTTAAAAATGTTTTTTTATTATTAGTGTTGTACCTAAAGCAGTCAGTGTCTTCCTCGTAGCAGAAGTCTCAAGATGGAGAACCAAAGATTTTCTTTCTTACAAAGAAGTCAAACCAAAAGCTAATCAGCAAGGCCCATTCAGGAAAAAATGTCTGCCCATAAAAACTAAAAATGAAACTATTGTTTTTAAAAAAAAAACACATTCATCAATTGGCATGTCAGCATTTAAACTAAGATCTTTGTGAAGTCTGGGTATATGCTGAACATGACTGTCAGCTGCTATCACATCAAAATTAGCTCAATATTTGCACAAACTAACCAAGTTAAATGTTTAAATATTAGCAATGTTTGATTAGCTGTGGTGCCTGTCTTGTATTGGGTTGATTCTAATGTAAATACCAAAGAAAATTAAATTTGTTAACACTTGAATGCAGTCGTGATGACTCTCCCTAAACAAAAAGTAGTTTATTTAAGTGCACTACTTATTTTACACTAAAAATGAGCCAGTGTAAGATTATGRCTTCTAAACTATATTTGATACTCTTAAGAATAATATAGTGAAGTATACTTGACCTTACACTGAAAAGTATAAAGAGAAGTTACGGACAAGATTGTGTCTTGTGATTCTGTAAACATGTTACTGACACAAAACTCTGACCTGCAGATGAGTCTGTTACCAGAACAGCACTGATATTTGTTGAGAAATCTGCTTTGTGTCCTGAAGTTGTGAACATGTTGACGGCATTAAATGTTTTTTTGGTTACAGGTGCAGTAATGTGCTTTGTCCATTGTGTGGCACTAGTGAGCTGTTTGTAATGGTGCTGCACAGCACCACTCATTCAGTGTTGAGAAGAAGAGTGACTGGTAAGATGTTCACTTCTGTTGAAAATAAAGAGAGGAGAAACAACATCTAGCTTTAATCCTTCCAGTTCAATGCTGCTGATGCTCTGCTGCTCAACTTTACAGTAAACAAGGGTGTTACATACAGATCTTTGTGTTTTCAACACAGGTTTATAGTAACTAAATACATTTCGTTACAGTACTTAAGTAATTTTTTGGAAAATTTGTAATTTTACCAAATATTTTTAAAAAAACATTACTTTTACTTTAATTTACATTTTCAACCTAAAAATGATACTTTTACTTCTTTACTTTGAAATTTAACACCTAGTAACTCATCATAAAGACGTTTCTACACTCGTCATGTCAGCTGGTTTCACTAAATTTAGTAAAGTAAATATGAGGCAACATACAGAAAATATGTACCTTGCTCAGTTTACTCAACCTGGTTTAGTGGAACCAGTTTGGTTCAGTAAATTCAACAGTGTATTTTTTAGAGAGTGTGTAAAAGTACTTTTACGTTCCTGATTTTTGTGAACAGTTTTATGACTTTTACTTGAGTACTTTTCTCATCAGTGAAATTTATTTTACCAAAGTCATTCATATCAAAGTTCATGTACAGTATTTTTACTTTTCCTTAGCTTTTTTTTTCCCAATGAATTTATAGACCTCTGGTTTTCAGATATTAGTTTTCATTGCTGCTCTGAGGAGACAGCAGTGTAATTAATTAGGCTATTTTCATCAATAATTCCACTAACTGAAGACTGATAGATGTAGCACATAAACATCAGCTGATTGTTACTGAATGTTACAAAATTTGATTCAACTTTTTGGATGATTTTGAAAGTCTGTCATTGCAAGAAGTTAACCTGAAATGCTTTTCTGTATGTGTGGTAAAAAAAAAAAAAAAGCAAAGAGAAAAGTGGGCGGAGCAGCATAAGGTCAAAAATTTTTACTTGAACTGATGTCAAATTTGTGAGTTTTTCAAGATCACAAAGATTTACTTTGGGACTGACCTTTTTGTAACTGTTGGCTTGACACCTTGATTCTCCAAACTGAGATCCCTCTGCTGCCCACAGCAGGTCAAAACTAACCTATCCAGCCCACATAACCCCTCCTCTAAGAAACTGGACTACACTGTTAACAAAAATATTGTTAAAATATCAGAAAATGGCTGTGTAGATGGTATAGTGCTCATAAACTACGTTAAAACGTGTACCTGCAGGTCCTTCTCATGACACTGCCTGTCCAGCAGCAGGGCTCTCTCTCTGAGGTCGTCCACAGTGTTCTGCAGCAGCTCGTTCTCCTCCAGCGCAGCGTGCACCCGGCGCTCCAGCTCCATCTTCCTCTCTGACAGCATCTTAATCTAACGTGTCACACACACAGCACTGGTTAGGCACTGCACTGCGGGAAACAGGCGTCGAGTGGAGGAACTTGATTGTTCAGATTTCCAGCTTGTAAGCAATCACACGGGCTGCCATGAACCTGATTAAAGGCTAAATTTGGTTGTTTTTTTGCTGCCTCTGAAGGAAGCTGGGCTCTTACAGAAGATTAAAAAGTACTCCCGCTGGTCCGAAGAATGTTTGTTGCTTAGCACAGGCGTGGGCGTTAGTTACCACCCTTGTCCTCAGGAATGCTTTAGTTGTCCTGAAGCATGTACACAAAGCTTGACATCAGCTTCCTCATTACAGTTTAACAGCCTTTTGCAGAAACATGGACCTACTTTCACCTCTACCAGCCTGAACAGCTTCTTTATTAAACAAACATCACTTCTAGTTCATTTTTATCCCTGACCTACATCTGCTAACCTACTTCACGGCACAGGAGCTTAAATATGGTTTCTCCCAGCTGTATGAAGTCCTGCATCATCAGGTTCTGAGGTTTTTTTTCTCTTTTCTTTTGTTTTAAGTCTCTGTTTTCACACAAACAGGCTAGAAACCTCAGGAAAAGTGGGAGCACCCAGACATTGCAGCATCCATAGCTAAATATAGAGCAGTAGCCTTTTCTCCCAATTATAGCGCAGGCTCTGCAGTCTGGGTGTTTTCTCTTGGCTCTGGAGGGAAGCAGTGGAAAAATCTGAACCGCTGTCTTTTCACAATCAACACCTACACATGCGTGATGAATCCGACACATCGAAAACACACCTTTTTAAAACCATGTTCACGACAACATGAGCATGACACTTGTCCTCAGAAAAGAAGAAAAAAAATCTTGAAATTGTATTTATACCTCTAAAACTCTTTCATAGTTTTGTCACATTACAAATATTGATCTGTTTTCCTGCCCCGCCCACTCTCACCTGCTCCCCCCGCCTCAGGTGTTTGTTAGTTTGCTTTTATATTCCTACCTCTTCATTTCCTTCCTCAGAGGAGCTTTGTAATGTTCTCAGTTTCACTCTGACCCTCGTGTTTCTCCAGACGTTACCAGTGTTTTTGACTCGTGTTTTTTTTTGCCTCGTCAGCTCTTTATTTCTGTTATTCAATAAGTTATTCTTGAGTCCACAAATTGCCGTCTGCACTCCTGAGTTCAACCCTGCCATTGATCATGACAAAATGATTCAGGTTGTTTTAATTACCGAAATAATTATTTATTTAAAAAGAAAATCGAAAAAGTGAGTTGTGTATTCGTACTCAGCTTATTTAAGCCTCAAACATAGATGTACTGCAACCATTTGATTTCAGAAGTCACCTAATTAGTAAATAGTAGGGTAACAGTCTGCTTAAGTCCTGGATCATTGTGTACTTCAGCATGACCGTCAAGATTTGGAACACTTTCAAAAACAAATGTTATCTTTTATAATTTCTTTCTCTTTTTTCAATCTAAACTGTAAAGAGTAACCCACAGACCACACGTTTATATGAAACAACTGCTTGCCGTACCTGCACCTCTTGTTTAACTCCACTGCAGCTGTAGGTGATCAGTGATGACGCTTGTGCTACACAGATTTTGAGTAAACAGACAGGTCTCTGCTTCCATGATGACATGTTCATATTAAACTTAAAATAATTATTTTGTAGCATGAACAACAGTGACCTGACATGACCTCTTGACACCACCAGTCATGTCTCCTAACTAACTGAACTCTGGACTGAAAAAGCTTTTTTAGAGACAAATTCTATCTTAGCTTTCAAAAACCTGTCCTTGTTCTGCAGATAATACTGACAACAATCTGTTTTCATCTTTTGCGATAAAAATAATAAAAAAAATCATTAACATTTCTGTGTCACAATTTTCCTTTGTAAAGTAATTTAARTTCAAGTGTGTATTATCATACTGTAAACTGAATATCATTTTGAACTGTAATTAACTTTAACATGCAGTGATAAAGTAACTGTTCTTCTCCTGTTTTCCTCCTGAACAGATGAGAAGTGACAGCTGCATGTCTGTTTGTCTCAATGGTCTTTCCCTGAAAGACATAGTTTCTTTTTGGCAGAGACCTGATTATTGGTACTAGAACACACAGCTGAATGCTAAGTGAAAACTGGAAGAAGCCAGTTTGGGAGATTTCTGCTGATGCTCAAAGCATCAAGACAGACTCAAAATGGACGAGCAAACCATCTGAGGAAAAATGTAATTTTTAATTATTGCAAAGAGAAGTTCTTGCCGACCRGGCGGGGTRTYATAAGGCTGATTGTGACGGAGGGTCATGCTGTCTCAGAGACTCTGCTTCTGTATGAACTTATCCATTATGACCTCAGGGCAGATCTGACCCGGGCTGGACTTTAGGGGAAGGGGTCCAGCATGCTGAGCCTTTCACCTCCTARGAGACAGCTGGATGTCTCCAACTTTGGTGAGCTGTTGAACTGTACCTATTCAAGGCATTACACATAAAATGTTTGCAGATCAATCGTGGTTAAACAGCCGAGGCAACTTGATATCATCCTTCTGACCTGCAGTAAGAATTAAAAATTACTAATGCTTAATCTGACCAACGTCTTAACATCTTCTCTCCAAATTGACAACAACTTATAGGCTTTAACCTGGGTCACTGGGTCTAATTAATAGAAAAATATATTTCCTTTGGGACAAAAATTCCCATTCTATAAAAGGTTTTAACATCCAGACCTTAACTTAGACYTACAACATCAAGTCTAAAATAATTTTCATCTTTAARTGTTTTAGAAACCTCAGCACTTCCTCTTCCATGTTGTTATTTTTACTGTTTTACTCATGATTCAATGAAAGTGATTCTTGCTATATTTTTATAATACATTACCATAAAAGACAAAGCTGGTTCCTCATCTTTGAGTGTTTTTGGCCTGAGATAAGAATTCCCTGCATATCATTCGATCACTAACACTTCTGTAAATATGAGTCTGATCAAAAAGGATGAATAAATATTGGTCAATAGCTAACCATAACTAAAAGTTTAAAAAGTGTAGCATAGGTCAGAAACAGTTATCGCCCTTTCTGTATTCTCCCCTAAAACCGGTACACTTTTAAAAAATCATTTATGTATTTATTTATTTATTTATTTAGTTTGCAGCCCCCCCTCACCCTCGACCACTGAGCTTACAGAACATTAACCATCTAATGCTAATGTTTGATTGGTCTTCAGCATCATGAAGACCAAGGAACACAACAGGGATAAAGCTGTGGGGGTGAGGTTATAAACCATCTCATGTTCTCAACCTTCACTCAGTCATCAGGAAACTTAAAAGAGTGCAGCACAACTACAATGTGCCATGAGAGAAACACACCTCAGGTGTGATTAAAAACAAGCAGTGAAAGGGGGTTCTACAATATATTAACCCTCAGGGGCTTAATACAAACACACACCATACTGTTCAGATTTTTATTTGTCAAAAAGTTTGAAAAACCTAAWATCTCAATAAACTACTTTGAAGTTTGTAGTTGTAACGTGACAAAATGTGGAAAAGTTCAAGGTATATGAATAKTTTTTCAAATACTATCCATCAGTAATGAGATTCAACAATCTGATGGAATAAAATGACTTTAAACTCTGCAGGTCCTTGTGTATAACATGCAGCATGCATATGATGAAGTCACTCACTTCTAGCCCTTGCTGCTCTGGCCAGGAANGAATACAGAAGAAAATGTCTGTTTCAGTAATTCCACAGATGCAACAACAAAACTGGGTGTTGATAGCTAAAAAAGAAAACACTGATATTAAAATTAAATTATTAGTTAATAAGTTTTTTCACTCACTAARGTAATAGAAAATAAGTTTTAATAATACATCTTCTGATATATCTTCATTCGATGTAAGTGAATAGTTACAGAACACGTGTCTGAGATCAGGTTCTACTGATACTCCAGCTTTAACCAGGCTCAGGACCTGTTCCCTTTAGCTGATAACTTTGTTTAAACTGTTTTAATATTGAATGTTAGATACAGTATATTCTACTGCTTGGAGTGGTCTCATTCTTACAATGGAGTTTTGGGGCCGCACAACCAGATTATTATTTTTTATTACAAGAAATAGGTCATTATATGAGAAAAAWATTCATATAATATTACGAGAAACTTTACACGAAAAAGCAGTCTTACACATTAAACATTCCTCATTAAAATGAGGAATGTTTAACAACTTGTGAAGTTGTTCTTTAGTATCAATTAAAATAATTATTCTTTTAGCACATTAGCATCAATTTATCAGTAGCAGGACTTTGAAATAATTGTGCAAATYACTATATGATAAACTGAAGCCGTATTGTAATCACTGGCTTCATTGTCAGATTTACAGACAGGAATGCAGAGCAGAAAATAAGCTTCAAACAAACAGTCTGGGTTAAAACTTAAGTTGTTTTTTTTAAACTCCAAAGGACAAGAGCACCTAGTGGTCATACATTCCTGTGATAAAAATTGAAAAAAAAAAACCCTGATTTGAAGATTATCTTTGATCAAARAGAAGTCTCTCTGCATCGAGTTTGAGAAAATGCTAAATCCTTGCAGTAAAAGATCTGAATGAAAATGCCAAAAAGTGCAAAGTTTGTGGAAATTAAAAAAGCCTGTTTGCAAAAAAATGGGAAGATTTACACAATTCAGATGTAAAGTGAAAATGCTGGAGTAAAATCTCCAAAAATGATAAAKCTGTGAGTGTGATTGTGTGTAAAAAAAGGATATATAAATTGTAATTTTCAGTTATGTAAAGTCTAACTTTCTATGACCCATTTCCACTCTGAATAATGTTTCTATTTTTGAAGCCTGAGCTGTAGAGCACCACAGAGGGCTGAGTTTCCTCACCTGGTTTTCTAAAACCACAGGAGGATGTTAAGATTTTCAGTCAGGAATGAACCCATGATGCAGGCAGTTGCAAGGCTTCAAATAACAAAGTATTTATTTGAACAAAAGGGTGCTGACTGGGCAGCTCAAAAACACTCAGAGTGGCGTGGCAAGACAGGACAAGGCACAATACCGAACACAACCAAACAATGGCTCGACAGGGAAGTGAAGACAAGACACAGAATATAAAGGTGAGACAAATGAGCACAAACAGGAAACACCTGGGAGAGAAACATGAGGAGCAGGTGTGAGTGGGCGGGGCTGGAGCAAAGGCAAACAGGAGGAAGAAAACAGAGGAACAGAAAAATCAGAATAAAGTCAAAATAAAAACATGAACCCAGACGAAACATAACAGCAAATCTAAAGCTACATCTGTGATGGAAACAAATAAAAACAGGTGCATCTCTAATGTTATCACAAACAAACATGTTTACTACATTAAAATACATTTAAGTGATGTGACTGAATGTGATGTGTCAGAGAATTCTTTATGTTTCTGAACCTGGAATGTCAGAAAAATGTTTATATATCTGTCATTTTCTATTAAACTCTCCTGCAAAACCAAACCAAAATAAAAAAATGAAATAGTTTGTTGACATTATTAGGATGTCTTTTAAAGACAAACCYTTTCAGTGAACATATTTAACCATTTTTTTCCATCAAACTTTGTTGTTTAAGCTCTGATTCCACCAAACACAATAATTTATTCAGTATTACTGAGAGTAAAATGATGAACGTGAGAAAGAAGACAGTTTCTGACCTCAGCCTGTAGACTCTCTAGTTGTGTCATGTGCTGGCTTGTAGACACGCTCTTCTCCCTGAAGTTGTCCTGTAATGAATGGACCTGAGTGGACAGCTGCCTCTCCACCTCTGCAGCCTGGGTGTGGACAAGAAATCAGGACACAGAAAAWATTCAGCTCACTTTCAAGTTAAAAATGAAACATCAAAAAATAAGTGTTTCAAAATGAGTGAGGGATTAAAAGTTGCATTATGTAATCAGTGGGACCCTCCTGGTGTAATCTGAAACATTAGTTAGCTACTGTCTTCAAAGTTGTGGATTTTGTACTTTATTCTTTTAAAGGCATACATTGATTTGTCTCACTTTCAAGTGTTTTACTGGGATTGTCTGTGATAGACCAACACAGTAGTGCATAGTTGTGATGTGGACTAAAATGATACATGGTTTTTACATTATTTCCAAATAAAAAATTGAACAGGTYTGTTATGTGTTTATATTCTGCATGAAATGTGATACCCCAAACTAAAGTGATCTTATTAGTATTAGGATCGACTTGTGTTTAAATTAATCTCAGTATAAGTCCAGCTGTTCAGCATCATGAAGACTGAGGAACAGACCAAAGGGGTCAAGGATAAATTTGTTGAAACACAGCCTCTCTTTAATCRATCACCTGAACATGAAAACATTACAGCACCACAGCAAACCAGTGAGGACCATCCACCTAAACTGAGTCTGGGTAAGGTGAGCACAGATATGAGAAGCAGCTTGAAAAGCCCTGTGGTAACTGTAGAGGGGTTACAGAGAGAATCTACCAACAGGACAACTATGAACTCTGTGGCCTTTGTAGAAAAGTGGTGAGAAGAAAGTCAGAAGAAGTTCTGTTGGCAGTTTGTCACAAGTCATTTAGTCCAAGAGATGCACCATGTTTATCTGCATAAAAAGTACCAGAGGTTTTGATGGTACCCCATTAAACTACATCTCTTCCAGGTAAAAAAACAAAACAAAACAAAACAAAAAAAACTATTAATTACAAAAAAATCTCAAGATCATGGCTTTGACTATGTAACATCCAACAATAATCAACTGATCCTTTGCTTCAGATCTGTTTTATAGGTACCAAAATGTTAAAAACTGATTGCTTAACTAAACCCAGGTAACCAGTATTGAACATACAAAGCCACTTACAGCTGACATCCACAAAAAGTGTCAAAAAGTTTCAAAACCTGAGCTCAACACAGCTGAACACACCATCCCCATAATGAAACATGGTGGTGGCAGCATCATGCTGTGGGGATGATTAGRGGAAACAGGAAAGCTGCTTAGAGCTGATGGGAAATAAACAACGATAAATACAGAACAACCCTGAAAGGAAAACTGTTTGAGTCTGCAAAAGACTTGAGACTGAGCTTCATCTTCTCGCAGGACAAKCTAAACCATCCAGTCAGAGCTACTGTACAATGGAATGGGTCAAATCCTATATGTGTGTGTTAGCATGGCCCAGTTAAAAATCTGACCTGAATCCTGCTGAGGATCTGTGGTGAGATTGAAAAACTGCTGTTCACAGACACACTCCAACCAGTCTGACTGAGCTGAAGATATTTTGCAAAAAAGAAAAATCAAAAAGAAAAAATAAGTAGGTCCTCTGGATGGGTTCTTCTTTAGTGAAACGTTTTGTCTCTCCTCCAAAAGACTTCTTCAATCTGATGAGTTTCAGGTGAACTCAGCCTTATAAGCCCTGCCTCCACATGGACAAACAGGTTAGTCATATGCAAAAGAGGGCCATTGCCTAACAATAGCTCTATTTAGTCACATGCATTGATTTTTTTCTACCTGGATTACTAAGATGCATCAGGACAAAAAAGAAAAAGCACAAAGGTCCATCTCTAGTAGTACAAAACTAATAGAGACAAACCCCTCAAGACATCAAGGGGGCTGAAAAAATGCACAACAAATTTGTCATGCTTTTATTTTTAAAACCATATATCATTTTCCTACCAGTCATGTTCCACTTTGTGTTGGTCTGTCACATAAAATCACACTAAAATACTATGAAGATTGTGGCTGTGACCAGATACAATGTGGAAAAGTTTTTGTAAACACTGTGATTTAGCCCAAACCATATGAGTCTTGTTAAAAAAACAGCCAGAAGAAGCAATCTGTTAAGTAGTGGTATAATCCACTGCAGCAGCAGACTCCCTGCATCACTTACAGCAGGCCAGGCCAACCAGTAGATCGGGATCTACCGGTAGATCTTTAGCTTGTTAGCAGTAGCTCACGGAGCAATGGATCACAGAGCTTGTAGAACGCAACATTGTTTAACATTGCAGCCTTAAATGCGCTCTTTGCAACATTTGTTTAACATTGCAGTCTTCAACACACTCTTTGCAACATTTGTTTAACATTGCATTCTTGAACGCACCCTTGTCAACGTTTGTTTAACATTGCATTCTTGAACGCACCCTTGTCAACGTTTGTTTAACATTGCATTCTTGAACGCGCTCCAGACTCGCTAGTTTTGGGTGCTGTGAAACAGCACTCTGAACATGGTCTTGCGAGATTAGGGTCATGTGTTAAAACATGGCAGCGAGGCGGAAAAAAACGATGAACGAAAGACAGCTAACAAGCAAATAAAAACTTATTATTTTCACCTGGAATAGGAAGAGGACGCATATGTAATTCGAGCGCTGCCTTGGCTTGTCCAAAAAGGATAACGTGAAACAGCATTTCTTTCAAAAGAATGCACAGACGCTACGAGGCAGATTTCCCCTCCTAAGGTAAGGCTGCTATGCTAATGCAGCCCCGTACCTGCCTCAACACACATCTTTCAGCAGTGACGAAGTTAAGAAAGAAGCATTTGATGCTGCAGACGTACTTTTCCGTGATTTTAAAAATAAAAGTGAGATTGTGGCTGCTATAAAGATGTGCAGCTGTCCACCAGGATGGATGGATGTGTCCAAATTCGTGTCCATGTTTCAGTCTGGACTGCTCTGGTTTGAAAATGAGGTTTTGACTCTGCAAAATGACGTTGGGATCAAATCCAGAGCAACAAGTTGCATGGATGGAGAGTTCTGGAGTCAGCTTTCTCTCACATGAAAATCATCAAGTCCAACAACAGATCCACAAAGACTGGTGATCATCTGGAGACCTGCTTACACCTCAACCACCTCATACTGCCTGCCTATGAGACCCTGGCCTCCTCTCAGTGTCAGAAGTCCTACTAAGGTAGACATACATTTTTACATCATTTATTTATACATTATTTTTATATAGCTTGCATAAAAAGTTGTCTCCTCTAGACTTGTCACAGTGTGTCTGTATGTTTTTTATTACATTTTAGACCAGACTAGTGTCTTATACACTGATTGGCACCTCTGTGTTATTTATTAATGTATTTTGCAGTTTGGGTGTGCCCTTGCTTTCCGTACCTAGCGTGGCTGTGTGTGTGTCTTGTTTATAGGTGGTGAACCAGGTGGAACTCTTTGAATGGTCTGGAGCCGGCAGACTGGACCAGTGAGGGACTGAACTCTTCAACACCAACAGTTGACATCATCCTGCATGCTGCATTGAAATAGTTATTGGAGATATGTGAATCTGCACCATCATAAGTCACTTTTTGTAATAGTATAAACGAGAGAGTTTTATATTGTGTGCTTTGACTTTAGTTTTTTGTTTTGTTTTTCCTCCCCTGTATGGAAAGAAAAGAGGAGAGTTCTTTGAATAAATGGAGACGAGTTCCCGTGTTCCAAAGTTATTTAAGTCTGTGGTTCTCTCAGTGTGCAGGTTTCCAGCCCTCATAGTTCGCATGTTACAGGGAGTACTAATTGAAGAAGATAAAAAAAATATCCTTTTTGTTCGAGCATCATTTTTCTGTTTCTCTGTCAGGAGTTAAGGATTTTATCTTTTCTTTTTTTGTAGGTAAATAAATGGTTAAGTAGATAGTTTTGTTTGACAATAATTTAAATTAAATAAAACTAGCAACACATTACTTTATGGTTTATTTACTTTAAAGAAATGAGGAGTAGGGAGACGAAAAAATATGTTTTTTGATACTGAGACTGGACGAGTAGATCTCAGCAAACTACTGACTTCAAAAGTAGCTCTTAGTTCAAAAAAGGCTGGGCACCCCTGACTTACAGCTTATTGGACAGGTGGGATCAGAGCACACAGAGCGAGGCTCAGCACTATTACTGCTACTCTGCTCTCAGAAAGATGCTGTTCACATGTCATCACTGCCACAACAGCTGCAAAACTTAAAAAGCTCTCATAGGGCCGTACTTTATATAAAGTAAGCAAACACAGAAAATGAAATCAACAAATCATCACTTTCTGATTACTTCCAGGATGTTCAGTGAAAGTAAAACTAACTCCTTGCATCACCTTGACAGCCTCTAGATGGCAGACTGCTGCAGCTCTGTGAGAGGGTCTAAGCTGGCCCACCACTCCACTCATGTCCTCAGGTCTGTTTCTACTGTCAGTAATCTTCAGGGGTTTTCCAGGAAGTCAAAGCAGCTGAAATGGTTTTTGATGTCTCTCAAATGGAGGCTGCACTCCAGTCACTAAAATATGATGTGTTGGGACGGAAAATTAAAGTAAATGTGTTGATCATTCAGCCCTCTGTTCAAATGACTCATTTTCACCAACACTATGGTGTCTTTGCAAAATAGACGATGCAGAGAAATAATGAGACATTAGAATGATATCCATCGATCGTTTGAAACAACTTTATCTGCAGTTGTAAAAGGCGAGACACAGCTGTGTATGCT